CGAAGAAAAAGAAACAAAGAAACAAAGAAACAAAGATGCATTGAGCGCGATACAAATATACGTAAAAGAAATGGACACTTGTTGAACAAGGGCAGTTGTCTGAACAGAAGCATCAGTTTCAAGATATCTACGTGGGACGCGTCAAACGTTCATCCTTCTTCACTGGGTATCTATGACTTTGCAAGAGGCTTGTGTTTATTTTTCTGCCATACTTTTTCTTTTTCTTGAAATGAAACATCAGATGAAGGAAGGAGCTGCAGATTCAACGACAACATCTTCTACAACACCCACCCGAAAGCGCGCTCGTACCGCAGGATCTGGCAGGGCAGCCACGAGATCTGGCAAGCCAGCTGAGCCTGTGCCGTTTCGACATCATTTCCTCGACGATGTTATCAGCAGTGGCGCGAAAACACCGGTCATACACAACACTGTCGACAACGAGCGCACTGTACCAGATACTAGCCACAAGATGTGGTGGGTAACTAAAGCGGATGTTCTTGCTAGATATGGCGTGCCTGGCGAAGTGAACGAGTCAAACAACTTACTAGTTCATTCATGGAGTGGCGTATTTGGTGCAATTGTGGATCGTGGCTCTTTACCTCCAGTCGTGGCTACCACCTCAAAGGCAGCAGTAGCAGCAGCATCAGAATCCCCAGAAGTAACGAGTATCTACATGATGAATGTACTTCCCCTTCCTATCAAGCAATGTGAGTGCCCAGAAGTACAGCCACGACGCAATCCATATCAAATATCTGGAGACCATGCTCCACCACCATGCAAGTATCCAACGATTCATGATATTTGGATACATCAACGAAAGCGACGCCTCACAGCTTGGAAATGTACGCAAACTGGCTCAGAGTACATTAGTACGGACTTTGCCGAGTCCTATCTGCACGACATCATCAACACCAGTATTAGCGAACGGTCCAAGAAGCCGTACCCAGACAATATTCTTGATTCTTTGCACAAATGGTTTGAATTCGTATTTGTTGGTAAACCAACAAAGTACACGATTGCTGGTGTCGATCATAATTTGCATGATTTATATGCGAAAGGATCAGAAGGGCCAAATGTAATTGGCACGTTGTTTGTATTTTTGCGAATCGATGCTGTCAACAAAGCAGCTGAATCTGGTGAGAATGTGAATTTACAGCCGTTTATCAAATACAATATCGCTGAGCAACTGACAAATAACAGCTCTATGTGCTCGATCAAGGTAGAAGTGTGTGATTGTAATGACATCGATGAATTCAAGCGAAAGCTCATCGAGATTGAAGGTGGTGGATCGCGATTAACTGCTGAGTCTCTCATTCCAAACATGTTGCCATATTCTGCCGCTGACAATATGGGCGACTCAAAGAGGTTCAATGATGATTCAGACTACTATTATTATGAGAGCGGGTGTAACCCAATAGATCTGGCTCCGTTGGTTCAGCTTGGCGCTAATGGTCTGACTATGGATACAACAACTGGTTTACTTTACCCAAGCTGGCTCCATGATGTGCTCCCAAAGCAGCGGACGCTTCCTAAACGAGAAGGATTTGTGTTTGTGACACCTAAGAACGAAGAAGCTACACGCTCTGCATTCATTGAGCATATTGCAGCCACTCGAGATCAGGTGTCAATCGATACCGATGAGTCAAGCTTGCTATTACCAGTCAAGGCGACTCTGATCGCGACGTCAAACTACATGGATGCGTGCGATTGGATGGCAGCAGTCAGCGATTTCAACAAGTCTCCATCATGCAAAAGAAAGCTAGTGTGCACAGTTATAAATACCTTGGATGTGCCGTTTGCCAAAATAAGCGACATTACAAACGTGGATATTGTTATTGCAGCCTTTACTAGTGAGTATGATAAGTATCGTAATAATAAACACTGGCCACAGCGTTACTACGACTCTCGCTTTGAACATTCGTACCACCACCACCACCACCACCACCACAACCATCACTCAAATGACGACGATGTCTTTATCTCCCCACAAATCATGGACCACTACAACACAAAGTATAATCAGCGCAAAAGTGAGCCACTTGATTTTGGCCGGCCAAACTTACGGTCTGTCCTGCAGGCCAGACTGGAAATGGAAAAGAAGATGCAAGATTCTTTGCCTAGAAACTATTATTTTATAGGTAAAGAAGGAAGAAGAGAAGAAGATGATGATGATGATAGTGATGATGATAGTGATGATGATAGTGATAATGATAGTGATAATGATGATAATGATGATTTGATGGATGATGATAATGATATGATAGATGAGGAGGAGGAGGATAGTTTGATGGATGAAAAAGAAGATTTCATGGATGATAATGAAGAGGATTCTTGGAGTAACACTGAAAGAATCAAATGGCGTCAATCACGCGACAACCAACCAGCAAGTGTAGAATGTCTACTTCCGAATGGATTATGTGCATTTAAATTTAGCCGATTCATATCATGTGGCAATGCATGGGGTCATTATTTGTTCGCATTTAATATAAAAGACAACGATTGTTCGGCGAATGTAAGGTATATGGTGTATAGACAAGAGTTTGAAATTATTCTGCACAGCTCTTCGAATACTGTTGATGCAACGATGCGGTTATTCAATATAAAGCAATATCCTTCCACAACGGAGTATCAAGTACTCGCTCAGCACAGGTGCATTCGATTTTGAAAGACACAATGAGAGCTGATTATATAGGAGGAGGGTGAAGAACGAAAGGACGAGTCGAGGCAGATAAAAGGAATGAAAAAAGGAAAGAAAAGATGGCTGGAGGAGCAGGGTATCGATCCCTGTACCTCTCGCATGCTAAGCGAGCGCTCTACCATTTGAGCTACACCCCCGACGAAATTTTAGACTCCAAATGTCGCTAGCCCAACTGGCAGTCCGGATATCCACACTTCCACACTTCGCCTCCACACTTCGCTTCCGCCTTGACCATGCGCATGCGCCGCTAGGCACCGCCTGGCAGCTACCTCGTTAAAAGCTAGGCTCGAGCGGATCTGCCGAAAGAAACGACACGAACAGAGCGAGAAGTGCTAAACTGCTGGAAAGGTGACAGTCAATGTGCGATAAAATGGCGGCGTCTTCTGACAAAACTAGCATCTGAACTCAATATCTGCTATGGTGGTACTCGCATCCCAGTCCACCAACAATGCGCAGCGGCTGGACAGCAGAACCAACAACAGTCGCCGGCATCCCGCTCTCCTTCGAACGAGACACAGCTGCATCTGGCAACATCAGCTTCCTCACATCCAGCAGCCTCTCATTCACACGCCGTATCATTCACATGCACACTCCATCTCCAATGTGTACTACTTTCGTCATTTGTTCGCCAGTCCTCGCTGCTGCTAGACAGCCTCAGCCCTTCATTTTGCAATCATTGCAGGAGATTGCCACCTTTTCAGTTACACTGTGGAGGATTCCCACACACAGCCGCGTTACTGGTTGGAGTAGGACGCACATTTAGTATATTATTTTAGTCAACCACCTTTTCTGCCCGTTGTTTTTTCACACCAGGGAGCTTATCTTCCGCCTGCGATTACTTTCCCACACACACAATCAACATCCTTTCGACTGCGATAAATTCACTCTTTTTGATGTTCTCATAGCACAAACGCATCTCAGCCCACGCCTGCATACGCATGCACATGTCCGTACACGCCAGTGGATATCAACATCGCATTTCCCAGCGAGAGTCAATGTTCCTTTTCTAACCGCCTCATCCAGCAGCCCACCTGTGACCCATCAGCTACGACAGGATGTCTCACCGTAACGCGCTCTTTGTACATATGTGCTTCGGCCAGCCCTCCTCATATATTTAAGTTGCAGTCAGCTCTCTAACTAACCGCTCGCTCCAGGCATCCCTTCTTGCACTCATCCTTACCAGATAACTTCCTTCGCCTCACTATGTTTTCGTATCTGCTCCTGCTGTTTACTCTGCTTACGACTGTGCTTGCCCAGCGTGGTCTGCCGCCAATTGGCGCCGAGATACCTTGCTCCATGCTGGCGATCAACACGCCGGTACGCATTCGAACTGCGTTGGTCGATGTCGACTTTCGTGGTGGTATAAAGGTCCGTGTCGATGTGAATCCCGATGATCCCTTCAACAGCGTCCGTTTTCGTGTGGTTGGCTTCCGTATGACTGCCGAGCTTCCAGGCGCAGATGAGGGGCACAGTGGTGGTGGTGGTGGTGGTGGCGGTGGAACTCTAACTATTGAGCAGAATGACATTGATATTGACGCCGGAAGCATTCTGAAGCGTACCCAGCAGTTCCCGCCGAAATATGAAAATGTCCTAGAGCTCTCGTTCACAATGACGATTGACCAGCCTGATTTGATGCTTCGCAAGCGTGAGCCACTGGTGCTGACGACCAAAAATCCGGCGAAACTTGTCGGTCAGCTCACTCAGTTCCCACCAAGAGGCGACTTGTACCAGCTCCAGAGCCCCGTGGAACTGGTCTTGCCTGACGAGCCAGAAACGACGATAGCTACTATCGAGAAGTTCCCAGTAAAGATGGGCGGACTCTGATAATATTAGCCACATTAGCCGTAATTGTTTTAGTTTTCACGTCACAACTTTAGTCATTTCAGTTTGTTTCTTTTCAATCTGGTCTTCACATTGCAGGCTGTTCCTATCGCTTTGTCTTCATTTACATTTTCCATCGGCATTATTGGCCAACGAACGATATGGTGCTGGTTCTGCTGTCCAGCCGCTGCGCATTGTTGGTGGACTGGGATGCGAGTACCACCATGGCAGACATTGAGTTCAGATGCCAAGTTTGCCAGAAGATGTCGGTTTACCACACATTGGTTGTCACTTTTCCAGCATTGTAACACTTCTTTCGGCAGATTCTCTTGTATCAAGCTTTTGACGGATCCGCTCGTGCCTAACTTTTAATAGGCGACTATCGGATGCATACGCGTGGTCAAGGCGGAGGCTCAGTGTGAAAGTGTGAATATCCTAGATGCCAGTTGGACTCGCGACATCTGGAACTCAAGTCTTCGTCGGGGGTGTAGCTCAAATGGTAGAGCGCTCGCTTAGCATGCGAGAGGTACAGGGATCGATACCCTGCTCCTCCAGCCTTCTTTTCTCTTTTCTTTTACTTTCTTTCATTCCTTTTCTCTGCCTCGGCTCGTCCTTTCATTCTTCACCCTCCTCCTATATAATCAGCTCTTATTGTGTCTTTAAATCCGAATGCACCTGTGCTGAGCGAGTACTTGATACTTTACCATTCGTAATGACGCGTCAGGATCGAAACGTGTGATCGTTTCTCATGCGCAGCGCCACATTCTTTCCATTCCAAACTGCCACTTTCGATATATTTTTCTTTTGTTTCTCAAACTTCGCGATGAACGACAACAGCGATTACAACGAGCGATCTTCGCTGCTACCAGAGCAGCTGCAGCAACAGACGTCACAGGAGCAGCATCTCCGCGTCAGCAGGCGTATGCGTCGCTCGTCAACATCTCAACCTGCCGTTCCATATGGCAGTGCTGACGCTGCTATCACTCCAGCACAGATCCTTGGCGGCGCGGCAGTTGGTTTGGCTCACAGCGGAGGTATCCCAGATAGACCACCACTTCAGCATCCTGTCGGCGGCCGTATCAGCGCATTTCCTATTGCGACATCTTTGACGAGTGACTATCAATCGAGCCATGGCATTCGGCGCTCAAAGACGCTGTCGATGGGATCTGGACTACGTCAGCGGATGCATCAACAGCGGCACATTGAAGGATATGGACCAGCTGGAGCAAGTTCATCTGCGAGTCTGCTATTGCCGCCAATGGATGAAGCATCGCCAGCTCCATCGCCTCGTATTGGATTTGGAACTTCATCAAGGGATACATCTCCAGAAGCCTTCACACCAAGCGGGCCGAGCGGCGTCACGCTGACTGATCACGACCGGCATCATCTGACAACAATGCGGCTGCCTGACCCAGTTCATGAGTCTGTGTCTGGTGAGACTCAACATGATCAAAGTGCTTCTGGTGAATATAGCGAAGAGAGTAGTCCTGATGTAGTGCCAGCTGCTCTCTCTCCACAGCGAGAACATGCTGCGTCACCAGAGATTGTTGTCCATCCGCCAGATTTAACTACACCGCCATCACTTCATAGTCAGCAAGTGCAATTCCACCAAAGCCAGTTGCATGCATCGTCTCAGTCTCCATCTGATCATGCCAGACTCACATCCGTTGTCACCCAAGTTAAACGACGCCATCAATCAATCAACTGGCGAATGCTGCAGAGTCTCGCTGAAACCGGCGACCTTGACACGACAGTATATGGCAAAGCACGAAGAAACTCATCAGCCTCTCTGGATAACACCGGTGCGCTCTCTGATCATCTCGGTCCAGCCGCAGCAGCCAAAGCCGATGCAGAGCGTGAGATCAACAAACTCTTTCTGGACCGCGACACATTCTCCCAGCCTGGATTCCGGTTTACATTCTTCTCTCCGACAGTTGGTACAGTTCGAGCTCGTGATCTGGCATCGCTACGAACAGAATCACTGAGTCTGCGCGATATGATTGCAGTGTCTTTAGGCGACGAAACCTCCGCAGCACAGCGCGGTAAATGTTATTGGCTGGATGTTGCAGCACCCACTGAACTTGAAATGACAGCAATCCAGCGCATCTTCAGAATTCACCCATTGACAGTCGAAGATATTTTGAGCGAAGAGGCTCGAGATAAAACAGAGTCAATGCTGCAGGACTACATGTTTGTATGCTACCGTGGTCTTGATGCTGATCCCGTTAGCTTAAGCTATATGGAGCCTCGTAACTTTTATTCAATTGTAATGAATGGCTCGCTTGATACTTTCCCGGGCGACAATGCGTCAACTACGGCATCAGCATCAGCATCAACATCGGCATCGGCATCGGCAGCATCAGAAGGGACATTAGTGTGTGGTGGAGGTATTCTTACATTTCATGCTGATCCGAATTCACCTCATGTCTTCAATGCGCTGCAGCGTATTCGGCATTTGTTGAGTTTTGTATCAATTACACCAGAGTGGATCAACTACACCATTATCGATGATATCACAGATTCGTTTATGCCAATCTTACGAGCCATTGAGCTCGAAGTGGATGTGATTGATGATTTGTCGCTGTTGTTATCAGAGGCTGAACAGCAGGACATGTTGCTGCGAATCTCAAACACTCGTCGACGAATTGTGGCATTGGTGCGCATTCTGGCGGGCAAAGCTGACGTTGTTCGTGGTGTGATGAAGCGCCGAGAACCACTTCCTGTGTCTGTGCGTTCAGCTAGTGGTGGTGGTGGTGGTGGTGGTGGCAGCAGCGAGCGCATCAGACGTGATAACCATCCAGCTGACTATGGTATGGGCACAGGTGCTCGATTGTCTGCCATGTACTCTGAAATTGACGATGACGGTGCAGCAATGGCATACGATGAACCTCGACCACAATCACGATCACGCGGGAACACTCTCAGCGGCCGCAGTGATGACGCTGTTGCTGTATCGTCTCCTACAACTCTATCAGTTTCTCACATTGCCCGGTTAGCGAGCACATCTCCAAATAGGCCATATTCGGTTCACCAACAACACCAGCAGTATCAACCGTGTCAACAGCATCAGCATCCGTCCTCAGTGTCGACTCGCCGTGGCCAGCGCCGCCAGCGCCAAAACGACATTTCCCTGTACTACGATGATATCAATGACCACGTCATTACGATGCTTTCTACTGCTCGACATCTCGACTTGGTTCTCGCGCGTGCCCACTCTGCGTACCTGGCGCAAATCTCCATCTCAATGACCCATTCAGCCAACTTGACAAATGATGTTGTAGCTAAACTCACCAGCATTGCATCGGTCTTAGTGCCGTTGAATATTATAACAGGCTTGATGGGCATGAACGTTACAGTGCCGTGGCAGACTGGTAGTGAAGAAAATGGCCAATCAACTCTTTATTTCTGGATGATTGTTGCTGGAATGGCATTGTGGACTGTAATGTCTTTAATTCTCTCACGACGATTCGGTATTCTATAATAATAATACTAACTATAAACAAGATATAATGTGATTCTACTAGCTCTCTCCAACAAGACAACTGGTAAGAAGGTGCGTTGCTGTTTTGATGCGGGCGATGACTACAAGGATGGTGTACTCAAGGTTGGTGATGTTGGCAAATTGTCGAGATTCTTTATCACGAATTCAAATACACCGGCCGGCACTACTCATCAACATGTGTTTACTGCTTCTGATTTGTAACTTTTTTTTTAATTCAAACCATTTTTATTAACAAACGGGAAAGTGAGTAAAGAAGGAATGAAGAAAGGCAGGTCTATGTTCGATGAGAATCCATTTACTTGCTGCCTTATCCAAGGATGTTTGATTATGACCACATTTCTAATATCGATCGATTTTGAATGAGTACATTCAGATTCACGTTTCCGATATCTCCCTGCATTCTTTCCCGTTTCACCCGTCACCTGAAAAACACAAAAGACAACAGCATTGACTTCATTTCCACAAGCAACAACAGGCATCAGCAAACAGCAAACGGCAACAGGCAGCAGCAACAAGCAGAAGCAGCATCTCCAGTGTCACCTCCAAATCACGAAGCAACGATGGCGGACGGCTCACCAGCTAACAACGGTGCACCAGACAACAGCACCAACTCTGCATCAACTTCATCAGAGCCAGTCAAAGATGGAGCCAAGAAGAAGCGCAGAAAGGTTGC